ATTTAGGCATTGGACAAAAAACAATTCTAGTTTTCATTGTCCAAATTGGGTCTTTGTTTCCTCCATACTCAAACCTAAGGGTAGAGATGATTTTCAATAAATGTCAACTTCTTCTGATGTGTCTCTGACCTGTCAAAAATGAGACAGGTCAGATTGACCCACCTTTTATAATTGTGTTAAAAATATCAACACATCGTGTTTTGTGACAAGTCAACGCCTTTATATAAAAATAAAATAAAAAAATTGTACTATATATGTCAAAATGCTTACCCAAATTAATAAAATAAATATCAATAATGTTATAAAAATCAAAGAAAGGCTTTATTAATCTCATAAGAGATTTTTTATTTTTAATATGCTCAGAGATCTCAAGTGTTAAAGTGAACCATTGTATTATTGAATGTTAAAAATAAATAAATAAAATGACTTGCGGCAGGTTAAATAAAATGACTAGTTGATCTGATGGATAAAACCTATTTTGCCAATTCTATGGGAGAAGTATTAGATGATCCAAGATTTTTTCTTTCCGGTTTAACTTTTTAAATTTTGAGATCGTATTTTGAATTGTATATTTCGTATTAATTATGCATTTATTCTAATTTTAATTTGATTTAATAGGACCGTTTGAAATCAAATTATTCTCTTATAGTTTAGTTGATCTGATGGATAAAACCTATTTTGCCAATTCTATGGGAGAAGTATTAGATGATCCAAGATTTTTTCTTTCCGGTTTAACATTTTAAATTTTGAGATCGTATTTTGAATTGTATATTTCGTATTAATTATGCATTTATTCTAATTTTAATTTGATTTAATAGGACCGTTTGAAATCAAATTATTCTCTTATAGTTTAGTTGATCTGATGCATAAAACCTATTTTGCCAATTCTATGGGAGAAGTATTAGATGATCCAAGATTTTTTCTTTCCGGTTTAACTTTTTAAATTTTGAGATCGTATTTTGAATTGTATATTTCGTATTAATTATGCATTTATTCTAATTTTAATTTGATTTAATAGGACCGTTTGAAATCAAATTATTCTCTTATAGTTTAGTTGATCTGATGGATAAAACCTATTTTGCCAATTCTATGGGAGAAGTATTAGATGATCCAAGATTTTTTCTTTCCGGTTTAACTTTTTAAATTTTGAGATCGTATTTTGAATTGTATATTTCGTATTAATTATGCATTTATTCTAATTTTAATTTGATTTAATAGGACCGTTTGAAATCAAATTATTCTCTTATAGTTTAGTTGATCTGATGGATAAAACCTATTTTGCCAATTCTATGGGAGAAGTATTAGATGATCCAAGATTTTTTCTTTCCGGTTTAACTTTTTAAATTTTGAGATCGTATTTTGAATTGTATATTTCGTATTAATTATGCATTTATTCTAATTTTAATTTGATTTAATAGGACCGTTTGAAATCAAATTATTCTCTTATAGTTTAGTTGATCTGATGGATAAAACCTATTTTGCCAATTCTATGGGAGAAGTATTAGATGATCCAAGATTTTTTCTTTCCTTTTTAAATTTTGAGATCGTATTTTGAATTGTATATTTTGTATTAATTATGCATTTATTCTAATTTTAATTTGATTTAATAGGACCGTTTGAAATCAAATTATTGTCATATTGTTTAGTAAAAGCTTTAGAAAGGCATCTTATTATGGTCTTTTAGCAAAAGAAAATATTCGCATTTAATTCATTTTTGAAACAATTATCCAAACTGATATCAACCTTGGATGAGACGAGTCCTGCACGTCAACCATGGGGGACTAAGCACTACAAATGTACAGACTAGTCTGTAATTCAGCGCTTATTTTTTTTTTTGATACATATAAAACTAAATACATAAAGGTTTAACAAAAGTACTAAGGCATTTTATTAAATAAGAAAATGAAAAGTAAATTTAGAATAATGGGCCCAAGAGCTAAGCAACTTAACATGATAGGAATATTAGTTTAGAACAAGCAAGTTTCAATGCTAGACATTTTTGGCATCTTGCAGACTGGGCAAGCATCCAGTATTGCATCACAAATTTTGCATGAAGAAATGTGCCTGCACGGGAGGAACACAATACAAGATCTTCCAGAATGACAGCTTTTACAAAGCATCACCTCAGGTTCAAAGTTGGTTACCCCACCACTCTCTACCTGTTTTCCTCCTTTTTCTTCATCTTCTAATCTTTTCTTTTCTCTCCCTTCATCACAGACGGACTCTGCATCATTCGCCACCACTTTACTGGAAGCTTTGATCTCCTCCAAAGTTTTATACAGAAATGATACCGTCTCTTTCTTTTCTTGAGCAACCATCTTCAAAGTTTGATTTTCTGACTCTAATCTTGCTAGATAAACCTGCAATTCTGCCCATTTCTGTATAGCTTTTGCAATTTCTTCATCTTTATCCCTCAGGATGTTAAGTGAACGAGATTTATGCTCTTGCAGCATCAATCTCAATCTCTCATCCTGTCAGTGATAACCAGAATGGATAATCACAAATTTGTTGACAAAGAATATTATTACAAACTGAACCAAATGCATATAAACCCTTACCTGAAACTTGATGTACTGGTTAAATTCTTCCCGGTCCTTCTCAAGTTGAAGAGCAAAGGTAGGAGAATCTGAAACTTCTGAATTATAAAGAAAAAGATTGGGATCAACATGTCCTAAACGCTGTTCTAATTGGTGTTGTTGTTGATGGTTCTGTTGGAAATAGAGACTAGACTCAACAAGCCCAACACCATAATTACCATTGTTGCTAGATGAGCCTGCAGCATTACTCTGGTACGACATACTTGGTAAGATCAAAGCCTGAACCTTTTCCTCAAATTTCCTTCAACTTATGCAGCACATGCTCAAATGAATGGATAATTGTATGTGGGAGCTATTGTGGATGTAAATATATATACACACAAGAAATTGTTTGAACAAAAAGAAAAGTACCAAAGACACTTCGCGATCAAGTAACAGTTTCATATTGAAATTTCTATCAACAGAAATCTCACATTAATAAGACTCAATTAACATAAATTTTGATTGAGCAGAAAGAGTAACTGAAGAACTTAAAAGGAAACTAACGAGGTAAAGTGTAGGATTTTCTGGGATGAGGTAAGCAAAAACGTACCACATGCAGATTTTGAGACTAAACAATCGGGTGAGAGATGTTTACGAAAAAATTAAAAATAAAAATCGGGTCAGAGATTTCAGAGGCGTTTGTTCTGCTTTGAATAAATGGATGAGTCGGTGTTTATTGAAAATAAAAAGTGAAATACCTTGTCAGCATGATTATTTGAAAATGAAATAAAAGCAAAAATCATATTATTTAGGCAATTCATTTAAGCTCTCACAAATTTGTAAAAAGGGAAATCCAAAACAGAAAACAATCCAAGATTTAAGCTCTCACACTAATTATGAAACAAATTTTAGGATTTTCAAAAAACTGAAAAATGATCCAATCCAAACCGAAAAAAATTGGATTGGATTGGATTGGATCAAATTTGATAAAAAACCAAACCGAATGGATGATTACATGATCAAACCGAAGGGATAGGTTCGAATGATTTTTGCTTTCAAAATCGATTCAATCCAGACCACGAACACCCCTATCATTTACAATTGCTATCAAAGATAATATGGTTTTCTATAATTTTTCAATTTAATTTATAATATATAAACATTTTTATACGAGTTGCCTAATTAACCATCTAACATTTTTTTAACAAACAAAAGTATTTAATAAAATTATCAGCACTCTTAACAAATCCTGAATTGTTAATTCGCAATAAATGATAACCGTTGATTGGCGGAAATCAACGGTTAAGATGTGGTAGTAACATTGGTAGTAACATTATTTAGTTGTCACAATATCCAATCCCATCATTTAGTAGGGGTGTTCATCAACCGATCCAAATCGATCCAAACTACAGTGAACGAACGAAAATACCGATAACCGATTAAATCGAAAACCAAAAAATCAAAAACTGAAAAAAAAATAGCAAGTTTTAATTGGATTGGATCGATTTTCGGATTGGTTGGTGAGAACCGATCCAATATATTAATTCTCTTCTACCTACTTAGGTCTTTCCTCAATCATAGCCCAAAAGTCTATGCCAAAGACTCATTAACCCATCAATTAAACCCAAGAAAAAACCTAGTCACATCTAATCAACAAAATTTCATTTGTGTAGAGTTTCATATCTCGTTGTCCAAAAAAAAAGCTATATTATCTTTTACAGATTTTTTTTTTTTGTATTTCAAAACAAAAATTACAAAGCCAATATATACAAAATATGTTATTTGCACACTAATTATGAAACAAATTTTAGGATTTTCAAAAAACTGAAAACTGATCCAATCCAAACCGAAAAAAATTGGATTGGATTTGATTGGATCAAATTTGATAAAAAACCAAACCGAATGGATGATTACATGATCAAACCGAAGGGATAGGATCGGATGATTTTTGCTTTCAAAATCGATTCAATTCAGACCACGAACACCCCTATCATTTACAATTGCTATCAAAGATAATATGGTTTTCTATAATTTTTGAATTTAATTTATAATATATAAACATTTTTATACGAGTTGCCTAAATAACCATCTAACATTTTTTTAACAAACAAAAGTATTTAATAAAATTCTCAGCACTCTTAACAAATCCAATCCAATCTGCATGTGGTACGTTTTTGCTTACCTCATCGCAGAAAATCCTACACTTTACCTCGTTAGTTTCCTTTTAAGTTCTTCAGTTACTCTTTCTGCTCAATCAAAATTTATGTTAATTGAGTCTTATTAATGTGAGATTTCTGTTGATAGAAATTTCAATATGAAACTGTTACTTGATCGCAAAGTGTCTTTGGTACTTTTCTTTTTGTTCAAACAATTTCTTGTGTCCACAATAGCTCCCACATACAATTATCCATTCATTTGAGCATGTGCTGCATAAGTTGAAGGAAATTTGAGGAAAAGGTTCAGGCTTTGATCTTACCAAGTATGTCGTACCAGAGTAATGCTGCAGGCTCATCTAGCAACAATGGTAATTATGGTGTTGGGCTTGTTGAGTCTAGTCTCTATTTCCAACAGAACCATCAACAACAACACCAATTAGAACAGCGTTTAGGACATGTTGATCCCAATCTTTTTCTTTATAATTCAGAAGTTTCAGATTCTCCTACCTTTGCTCTTCAACTTGAGAAGGACCGGGAAGAATTTAACCAGTACATCAAGTTTCAGGTAATGGTTTATATGCATTTGGTTCAGTTTGTAATAATATTCTTTGTCAACAAATTTGTGATTATCCATTCTGGTTATCACTGACAGGATGAGAGATTGAGATTGATGCTGCAAGAGCATAAATCTCGTTCACTTAACATCCTGAGGGATAAAGATGAAGAAATTGCAAAAGCTATACAGAAATGGGCAGAATTGCAGGTTTATCTAGCAAGATTAGAGTCAGAAAATCAAACTTTGAAGATGGTTGCTCAAGAAAAGAAAGAGACGGTATCATTTCTGTATAAAACTTTGGAGGAGATCAAAGCTTCCAGTAAAGTGGTGGCGAATGATGCAGAGTCCGTCTGTGATGAAGGGAGAGAAAAGAAAAGATTAGAAGATGAAGAAAAAGGAGGAAAACAGGTAGAGAGTGGTGGGGTAACCAACTTTGAACCTGAGGTGATGCTTTGTAAAAGCTGTCATTCTGGAAGATCTTGTATTGTGTTCCTCCCGTGCAGGCACATTTCTTCATGCAAAATTTGTGATGCAATACTGGATGCTTGCCCAGTCTGCAAGATGCCAAAAATGTCTAGCATTGAAACTTGCTTGTTCTAAACTAATATTCCTATCATGTTAAGTTGCTTAGCTCTTGGGCCCATTATTCTAAATTTACTTTTCATTTTCTTATTTAATAAAATGCCTTAGTACTTTTGTTAAACCTTTATGTATTTAGTTTTATATGTATCAAAAACAAATAAGCGCTGAATTACAGACTAGTCTTTCTATTGCACTTAGTCCCCCATGGTTGACGTGCAGGACTTGTCTCATCCAAGGTTGATATCAGTTTGGATAATTGTTTCAAAAATGAATTAAATGCGAATATTTTCTTTTGCTAAAAGACCATAATAAGATGCCTTTCTAAAGCTTTTACTAAACAATATGACAATAATTTGATTTCAAACGGTCCTATTAAATCAAATTAAAATTAGAATAAATGCATAATTAATACAAAATATACAATTCAAAATACGATCTCAAAATTTTGAAAAAATCTAAAAGATAAGATGCCTTTCTAAAGGTTTTTACTAAACTAAATAAGAGAATAATTTGATTTCAAACGGTCCTATTAAATCAAATTAAAATTATAATAAATGCATAATTAATACGAAATATACAATTCAAAATACGATCTCAAAATTTAAAAAGTTAAACCGGAAAGAAAAAATCTTGGATCATCTAATACTTCTCCCATAGAATTGGCAAAATAGGTTTTATCCATCAGATCAACTAAACTATAAGAGAATAATTTGATTTCAAACGGTCCTATTAAATCAAATTAAAATTAGAATAAATGCATAATTAATACGAAATATACAATTCAAAATACGATCTCAAAATTTAAAAAGTTAAACCGGAAAGAAAAAATCTTGGATCATCTAATACTTCTCCCATAGAATTGGCAAAATAGGTTTTATCCATCAGATCAACTAAACTATAAGAGAATAATTTGATTTCAAACGGTCCTATTAAATCAAATTAAAATTAGAATAAATGCATAATTAATACGAAATATACAATTCAAAATACGATCTCAAAATTTAAAAAGTTAAACCGGAAAGAAAATCCCATAGAATTGGCAAAATAGGTTTTATCCATCAGATCAACTAAACTATAAGAGAATAATTTGATTTCAAACGGTCCTATTAAATCAAATTAAAATTAGAATAAATGCATAATTAATACGAAATATAC